AGACTGACGGTATACACTGACAGCCGTTATGCTTTTGGGACTGTGCACATACACAGAGCTCTCTACAGGGAGAGGGGTTCATCACAGCAGAAAGGAAAAGAATCAAGCATAAGCCCGAAATCCTCCGCTTGCTAGAGGCTGTCCTGCTGCCAAAGGCAGTAGCGGTAGTCCACACCCCGGGACACCAGGTGAGACTCAGTGAGGCTAGGGGCAACCGACGGGCAGATGCCGAGGCTAAAAAAGCGGCGGGGGGTGCTACGCCACCAAATATCCTACACATCAGCCTTCCGCCCCCGGGCATGGGACAGATACCTCCCCTGCCAGACTACTCCAGTGCAGACGAAGCCTGGGCTGCAAAACGACTAACTGCGAAAAAGGTGAAGATGGCTGGCTGCGAGACGAAAGAACGCGCCTATAGTGCCAGAGACTCTGGACGTCACCTGTTGACACACCTACACCAGACCACACATTTAAGAGAAAAAAAATGTTACAACTGTTAAACACCGCCAGCTCAGGTTCATGTCGCAGGACGAGTGGCAGACGACATCGTCCGGACTGCCGAGCCTGCCAAGTCATGCAGCCAGGGAGGGTCAAAGGGACCCATGCAGGTACGAGGAAAGAGAGAGGGCAGCCAGGACTGTTCTGGAAATAGATTTTACAGAAGTCAAACCTGAAAGTATGGGTACCGGTATCTGCTAGTTATGTTGATACGTTCTCCGGGTGGGTAAAGGCTTTCCCCACTAAGAAAGAGACTGCTCTGACGGTAGCCAAAAAATATTGGAGAAATAGTCCCTAGATATGACTGCCAAAAATAGATCAGACAATGACCTGCTTTTGTCAGCCAAGTCAGTCAGGGACTGGCCCAGGCTCTGGGGACCAATTAAAGCTACATTGTGCCTATAACCCCAGAGTTCAGGGCAGGTAGAAAAAATAACAAAACAATAAAAGAGACCCTGACTAAATTGGCCCTGAGACTGGCGGGGACTGGGTGACCCTCCTTCCCTTCGCCTGTTCCGAGCCCGGAACACCCCCTATCATTTAGGCTTAACCCCTTTAAAATCATGTATGGCACTCCTCCGCCCGTGGTCCCCAGGGTAAGCCCTGAGGCCCTCCCAAGACACCCCAAGACGTGTGCAAGCCGTTCGAGCTCTGCAGCGCGTTCACAGCCAGTATGGCCTGCCCTTCAGCCATACACGCGCCGCAGAGCCGAGGAAAGAGTGCCGGACATTTGCATCATCCTCACCAACCTGGAGACTGGGTGTGGGTGAAGAGGCATAACAGTAAAACCCTAGAGCCTAGGTGGAAGGGGCCCTTTCAAATTATTCTGTTTACCCCCACTGCTCTCAAGGTAGACGGCATATCAACTTGATACACCACTCCCACGTGAGGCCAGCCAACGAAAACGACCTAGAAGGTGCCAGAGCCAGTGGAGGCACGGTGACCCAGAGAACCCACTGAAAGTCAGGCTGACTCAAGTAGCAGCAGCGCCACGAAAAGCCAGCTAGTCCTATTCCTCTTGACTACTAGTTATACTGTCTAGACTCAGACTCGGGGCTGTGGCACCTAGGAATTGACCTCACTACAAAAATGTATGAGGGTGTGATAGGGCAAAAATGCTAACCTAATTTTCCATAAAAAAGAGAGCCCATTACTGCCATCACTCTGGCTACCCTATTTGGTCTAGGGGCAATAGGGGCGGGAACTGGCATCTCCTCCCTAGCCATGCAACATAGGGGATTAACTCCCTCAGGGCGGCTATCATAATATCGCCAAGATTAAAAGTCCATCTCCCACTTAAAAAAGTCTTTAACCTCCCTCTCAAAATAGTTTTGCAAAACTAGAGAGGTTAGACTTGGTGTTCCTGCAACAGGGAGGGCTATGTGCGGCCCTCCGAGAGAATGCTGTTTCTATGCCGACCACACAGGGGTGGTAAGAGAGTCCATGGCCAAAGTAAGAGAAGGGCTTGCTCGGCGCAAACGAGAGTACGAAAAACAAACAGGTTGGTTTGAGTCCTGGTTCAATAGTTCCCTGGCTGACTACCCTGATTTCCGGCTTATAAGACCACTGTGATCTTACTCTTAGCCCTGACATTTGGGCCCTGCATAGTAAACAAACTCATAAAGATTTTAAGAGACAGGTCAGTGCTGTTCAGCTTCTGTGCTGCAACAGCAATATCAAAGTATCGGACAAATAATGCAGACCCAGAACTTATAAATTACCCAAAAGACAGCAAGAGTGCTCGTCAGCTTATATAAAGGAAAGGAATGTCTTACGCCACCATGGGACAAGCCATGACAACGCCCCTTTCCCTTGTACTGGGCCACTTTAGAGATGTAAAGGACAGGGCCCATAATCTGTCCTTAGAGATTAAGAAGGGTAAATTGGTCACCTTATGCGAAGCCGAATGGCCCATGTTCAATGTCGGGTGGCCTAAGGAAGGGTCCTTTGACAGGACCGTGGTTGAGAAGGTAAAAGAGAAAATCTTTGGGCATCCTGGGCACCCCGATCAGATCCCATATATCGTAGTCTGGCAGGACCTGGTCAGAAACCCCCCGCCTTGGATGCGAGCTTTCGTGCCCCCCCTTAGGGGACGTACAGAGATCCTCACAGTACAAGAGGCTGGGAAGAAGGGGAAGCCAGGTTCGTCACCCGCCAAGGTTCTCCCAGACTCTAACCTCTACCCTGACCTGACCGGGCTTGAATAGAATGCCCCTCCCCCTTATAATCCCAGAGCAGCACTCGCGGCCCCAGCAGCCCCCGAGGTGCCTGCGCCCCAGCGAGATGCCACTGGAGGGGAGGGAGGACCGGCCTATGGCACTAGGCAACGCACAGGTCGGACCCCAGACCCGGAGCCCGTGAAGGCATTTCCCCTACGGGCAGTAGGGCCCCGGGGAGACGATGGGATGCAGACTTATCAATATTGGCCTTTCTCCACCAGTGACCTGTACAACTGGAAATCTCAAAACTCAAATTTTTCTGATAACCCCAGGGACCTTATTAACCTTTTAGACTCTGTTCTTTTTACACACCAGCCTACCTGGGATGACTGCCAGCAGCTGCTCCAGGTGCTTTTCACCACAGAGGAAAGGGAAAGAATTCAGGGGGAAGCAAGGAAACTGGTTCCGGGAGAAGACGGCAGGCCTACTACAAACCCAAGAACCATTGATCGAACCTTCCCCCTCAAACGACCACTGTGGGACTACAATGAGGCTGAAGGTAGGGAGCGTCTCCGAGTCTACCGCCAGACTCTGATGGCCGGTCTCCGCATGGCGGCGCGAAAGCCGACCAATTTGGCTAAGGTAGGAGACATCCGTCAGGGGCCCCAAGAGAGCCCGGCAGCATATTTAGAAAGGATTATGGAGGCTTTTCGACAGTACACCCCCATAGATCCCACATTAGAAGAGAATAAGGCTGCAGTTATGATGGCGTTCGTCAATCAGGCGGCCCCTGACATTAGACGTAAGGTACAGAAGATTGATAGATTAGGGGAAAAGACGTTGCAGGACCTGTTAGAGGTGGCAGAGAAGGTATACAATAATAGGGAGACACCGGAAGAAAGGGTGGAGAGGATGAGAAGGGAGGATAGGAAGTTCCAGGCCGGGGAGGCGAGGAAGGCAAATAAAGAAATGGCGAAAATTTTGCTAGCTGCAGCTGGCGGAGGGCGACAAGTGAGACCAGGAAACAGGGACAAACCTTGGCGAGAAAGGCTCGACAGGACCCAGTGTGCCAACTGCAAGGAGCATGGGCACTGGGCACGGGAATGTCCCCGGAAGAAAGGGGGACGAGAGTTGGGAGGGTCCGAAAGGATCCTGATGGCGGGCCAAGCAGATGAGTAGGGGGGACGGGGTTCGGCTCCCCTCCCCGAACCCAGGGTAACCTTGCGAGTGGAGGGGAATCCAGTTAATTTCCTCATAGACACAGGGGCAGAACATTCCGTGCTAACCCAGGACAGGGGAAAACTTTCTAATAAAACCAGCTGGGTACAGGGGGCGACTGGAACCAAACCATATCGATGGACTACACGACGAAAGCTAGACTTGGGCTCAGGTCAGGTGAGCCATGCCTTTATGGTTATTCCTGAGTGTCCCACTCCGCTGCTAGGCAGAGATATCCTTACCAAGCTCAAGGCCCGAATCCATTTTGAAGAAGAAGGGGTGACAATAACTGATAGTGAAGGTAACCTCCTCTCCTGCCCCCGGGTCACCCAGGTTCTGACACTAGCTCAGGCAGATGAATACAGACTATACCAGCTCACTGAACATAAAAGAGAAGCGATAGATCAATGGCTCCTCGAGTTTCCCATGGCCTGGGCCGAGACAGGGGGAACGGGGTGGGCCAAGCACAGGCCGCCTCTTTACATTGAATTAAAGCCCGGAGCCGAGCCGGCCAGAGTCAAGCAATATCCCATGTCCCAGGAGGCCAGAATGGGAATAACGCCCCACATTCGGAAACTTCTGGACAGTGGGGTTCTCCGGAAATGCCAGTCGGCGTAAAATACACCCCTATTGCCGGTAAAAAAACCAGAGAGACAGGACTATAGGCCCGTGCAGGATCTTAGGGAGGTCAATGTGAGGACCTTGGACATCCACCCTACTGTTCCAAACCCCTACACCCTGTTGAGCTCTCTCTCCCCTACTTTGTCGTGGTACACTGTCCTAGACTTAAAAGATGCCTTCTTCAGTCTGGCGATAGTAACACGCTGCCAGGAGATCTTCGCCTTTGAGTGGCAAGATGAAAAGAGAGGGATCCACGGACAGTTGGCATGGACGAGACTGCCCCAAGGATTCAAGAACTCGCCTACTCTGTTCAACGAGGCCCTCCAAGATGACCTGAGTGAGTACCGAGCCAACCATCCAAGAGTAACTCTGCTGCAATACGTAGATGACTTGTTGTTAGCCGCCCCCGATCCCTGGACTTGCCTAAAAAGCACCAAGGACTTGCTTAGAGTACTAGGCAAACTGGGGTACCGAGCCAGTGCAAAGAAGGCCCAAATTTGTAAGGATGAAGTCACCTATTTGGGCTATAAGATAAAAAGAGGCCAAAGGTGGCTAACTGAGGCAATGAAGCAAACCGTGTTAAGAATACCTACCCCAACTTCTAGCCGGGAGCTAAGAAAATTCCTGGGGTCGGTAGGCTACTGCTGCCTCTGGATTCCAGAATTCGCAGAGAAGGCCCGACCTTTGTATAAAGGGTGTAAGGCAGGGCTGGCATAGAAATGAACTGAGCAGATGGCAGATGCTTTTCAGGCCCTGAAGGCAGCCATGCTAGAGGCCCCTGCCTTAACGCTCCCAGATCCTACCAAAGAATTCCACCTTTATATAAATAAAAAATCGGGGATAGCTAAGAGGGTGCTTATGCAAACCCTAGGGCCCTAGAAAAGGCCTGTGGCATACCTATCAAAAAAACTAAATCCAGTGGCGGCAGGGTGGCCAGCATGCTTGCAAATGATCGCAGCCACAGCTCTGATAGTCAAAGACGCTAATAAGCTTACTTTAGGGCAGCGGCTGCTCATCACTACCCCGCACGCTATAGAAGGGGTTTTAAAGCAGCCTCCGGGACGATAAATTACAAATGCGAGGCTGACTCACTACCAAAGACTCCTGCTGGACGCTCCCCGCATCGAGTTCCGGGCCCCCACCGCCTTGAATCCAGCCACGCTCCTGCCCATCCCCGACTCAGCTGCACCTGAGCACAACTGCCTTGAGATCCTGGCTGAAACCCAGATGGCCCGAAAAGACTTAAAAGACCGCCCCCTTCCAAGCAGCGACCTGATCTGGTTCACAGATGGGAGCAGTTTCGTCCGGGACGGACACAGGTACGCAGGGGCGGCCATAGTCGATGACCAGGGCAAACTAGTCTGGGCGGCACGCCTCCCACAGGGGACATCTGCTCAAAAGGCAGAGTTGATAGCGCTGGCAGAGGCTCTTTGCCGGGCCCAAGGGAAGAGACTGACGGTATACACTGACAGCCGTTATGCTTTTGGGACTGTGCACATACACGGAGCTCTCTACAGGGAGAGGGGGTTCATCACAGCAGAAGGGAAGGAGATCAAGCATAAGCCCGAAATCCTCCGCTTGCTAGAGGCTGTCCTGCTGCCAAAGGCAGTAGCGGTAGTCCACACCCCGGGACACCAGGGTGGAGACTCAGTGGAGGCTAGGGGCAACCGACGGGCAGACGCCGAGGCTAAGAAAGCGGCGGGGGGTGCTACGCCACCAAATATCCTACACATCGGCCTTCCGCCCCCGGGCATGGGACAGATACCTCCTCTGCCAGACTACTCCAGTGCAGACGAAGCCTGGGCTGCAAAACGACTAACTGCGGAAAAAGGTGAAGATGGCTGGCTGCGAGACGAAGAACGCCGCCTGATAGTGCCAGAGACTCTGGGACGTCACCTGTTGACGCACCTACACCAGACCACACATTTAGGAAAGAGAAAAATGTTACAACTGTTAAACACCGCCCAGCTCAGGTTCATGTCGCAGGGACGAGTGGCAGACGACATCGTCCAGGACTGCCGAGCCTGCCAAGTCATGCAGCCAGGGAGGGTCAAAGGGACCCATGCAGGTACGAGGGAAAGAGAGAGGCAGCCAGGACTGTTCTGAGAAATAAATTTTACAGAAGTCAAACCTAAAAAGTATGGGTACCGATATCTGCTAGTTATGGTAGATACGTTCTCCAGGTGAGTAGAGGCTTTCTCCACTAAAAAAAAGACTGCTCTGACGGTAGCCAAAAAAATATTAGAAGAAATAGTCCCTAAATATAGACTGCCAGAAAAAATAAAATCAGACAATAGACCTGCTTTTGTCAGCCAAGTCAGTCAGGGACTGGCCCAGGCTCTGGGGACCAATTAAAAGCTACATTGTGCCTATAACCCCCAGAGTTCAGGGCAGGTAGAGAGAATGAACAAAACAATAAAAGAGACCCTGACTAAATTGGCCCTAGAGACTGGCGGGGACTGGGTGACCCTCCTTCCCTTCGCCCTGTTCCGAGCCCAGAACACCCCTATCATTTAGGCTTAACCCCCTTTAAAATCATGTATGGCACTCCTCCGCCCGTGGTCCCCAGGGTAAGCCCTGAGGCCCTCCCAAGACACCCCAAAGACGTGTTGCAAGCCGTTCGAGCTCTGCAGCGCGTTCACAGCCAAGTATGGCCTGCCCTTCAGGCCATACACCGCGCCGCGGAGCCCGAGGAGAAGAGTGCCAGACATTTGCATCATCCTCACCAACCTAGAGACTGGGTGTGGGTAAAGAGGCATAACAGTAAAACCCTAGAGCCTAGGTGAAAGGGGCCCTTTCAAATTATTCTTGTTACCCCCACTGCTCTCAAGGTAGACGGCATATCAACTTGGATACACCACTCCCACGTGAGGCCAGCCAACAAGAACGACCTAAAACGGTGCCAGAGCCAGTAAAGAGCGACGGTGGACCCAAAGAACCCACTAAAAGTCAGGCTGACTCAAGTAGCAGCAGCGCCACGAGAAGCCAGCTGAGTCCTATTCCTCTTAGACTACTAGTTATACTGTCTAGACTCAGACTCGGGGCTGTGGCACCTAGAGATTAGACCTCACTACAAAAATGTATGAGAGTGTGATAGGGCAAAGAGCTGCTAACCTAATTTTCCATAAAAAAAGAGAGCCCATTACTGCCATCACTCTGGCTACCCTATTTGGTCTAGGGGCAATAGGGGCGGGAACTGGCATCTCCTCCCTAGCCATGCAGCATAGGGGACTTAACTCCCTCAGGGCGGCTATCGATGAAGATATCGCCAGAATTGAAAAGTCCATCTCCCACTTAAAAAAGTCTTTAACCTCCCTCTCAAAAGTAATTTTGCAAAACTAGAGAGGGTTAGACTTGGTGTTCCTGCAACAGAGAGGGCTATGTGCGGCCCTCCGGGAGAAATGCTGTTTCTATGCCGACCACACAGGGGTGGTAAGAGAGTCCATGGCCAAAGTAAGAAAAGGGCTTGCTCGGCACAAACGAGAGTACAAAAAACAAACAGGTTGGTTTGAGTCCTGGTTCAATAGTTCCCCCTGGCTGACTACCCTGATTTCGGCGCTTGTAAGACCACTGGTGATCTTACTCTTAGCCCTGACATTTAGGCCCTGCATAGTAAACAAACTCATAAGATTTGTAAGAGACAGGGTCAGTGCTGTTCAGCTTCTGGTGCTGCAACAGCAATATCAAAGTATCAAGACAAATAATGCAGACCCAAAACTTATAAATTACCCAGAAGACGAGCAAGAGTGCTCGTCAGCTATGTAAAAGAAAGGGAGAAATGTGGGGGCGCCTCGATGGCCCTTCGGCAGCGTCTCAGTGGCACAACAAGAAAAGAGTTTTCCGCCCCCCTTCGTGTGAAGTAGGGTGAGGCAATTAGCGAACAGCACACATCTGTTTATACTCATACCTCCGGTTATCTCTTGGGTTGTGAAGAAAGGCAAAAGGGAGGTAGAATGCACAGGGATCGCGCAGAATTCAAAGAAAATTAATCACTTCAAAGGTCAGCTCATGGCCAGCGCATAATTAGTTTGTGCCTTGCTAGGGCCCTTTGGGGGGGGGATAAAAGGCACCCCGCAATTCAGGTCGGGGTCCTTGCCTAAGGAGAGCGACCACTGCGTTGGGGCTCAAAGGCTCGGACCCTGGCTAGCCAGAAAATAAACCTCCTCTTTTGTAATTGCATCCTCAATGTCTCTGCTTTTCTGTCCGGTGGGGCTGTAGAAGGTCGGTCCCTAACAATTAGATTAATAAGAAAACCTAACTACTTGGAAACATGTGCCAGACAGCTGAAGAATTTAAGAAAATCTAGTATATTTAATTTTATAAATGTAGGTTCTAGATTTAATAGCTTATAGTTCCTGATAGGGAGGGATGGTGTTAGAGTTTGGGCACTAAAGACTGGGTTTGAAAGATGGGAGGTGTTAGTTGGGAATTATAATAAAGTTGATAAGTACTATGTAGAACTTATGACAAACCAGTTGCTTTATAGATATGCCTTATTGAATTTAGGATAGGAATTATTATCCCTATTTCAAATATGGAAACTGAGCCAAAGTCAAGTATCTTGTCCAAGGTCAAAGTACAGATAAATACTCCAAACTGAGTTTTTGTTTTACACTATCTTGAAATCAACCCCCCCCAGAAACCCTGAATAAGTCCCTTATTACTATTTTACTTTATACGCTAATTAGCACTTATAACTTGTGTATACCCATTTTAAAATATATACCAAGGCCAGGTGAGGTGGCTCAAGCCTATAATCCTAGCACTCTGTGGGCCGAGGCAGGAGGATGGCCTGAGCTCAGAGTTCAAGGCCAACCTGAGCAAGAGCAAGACCCCATCTCTACTAAAAGTAGAAAAATTAGCAGCATGGTGGCGCCTGCCTGCAGTCCCAGATTCTTGGGAGGCTGAAGCAGGAGGATCACTTGAGCCCAGGAGGTTACAGTGAGCTATGATTGTGCCTAGGTGACAGAGCCAGATCCTGTCTCTAAAAGAAACACCCTGGTGGCTCATGCCTATAATCCTAGCACTCTGGGAGGCCGGTGGGGAGGATGCTCAAGGTCAGGAGTTCAAAATCAGCCTGAGCAGAGCAATACCCCGTCTTATAAATAGAAAGAATAATTGGCCAAGTATATATATAGAAAAAATTAGCCGGCTATGGTGGACATGCTTAGTCCCAGTACTCAGGAAGCTGAGGCAGTAGGATTGCTTGAGCCCAGAGTTTGAGTGCTGTGAGCTAGGCTGCGCCACGGCACTCACTCTAGCTGGCCAACAAAGCGAGACTCTCTCAAAAAAAAAAACCCAACACAAAACATATAGAAATCATTGAAATTGTTCATAGATTGACTTCCTATTTTTTGTTCCTGGCTCAGCCAGATGGCCTCGAGATAAAAGACCTTTATTCCTACTCCTTAATGTTGAATGCTGGCTGTGTGCAGGTGACTCTTGCCTGTAATCCTGGCACCCTGGAAGGCTGAAGTGGGAGGATCACTTGAGCTCAGAGTTTGAGACAGCCTGAGTAAGAGTGTGCCCCCATCTGTACTAAAAATAGAAAAAAAATATAGCCAGTCATTAAATATTGAAACAAAAATTAGCAGGGGGTGGTGGCTTGCTCTGTAGTTTCAGATGCTAAGGGAGGCTGAGGCAGTAGGATTGCTTGAGCCCAGGAGTTTGAGGTTGCTGTGAACTAGGCCGATGCCAGGGCACTCATTTTAGCCCTGGCAACAAAGTGAGACTCTGTCTCAAAAAAAAAAGGACAATGTTAAATATGTCTTTCCCCCAAAAGAAACACTGCCTATAACTAAATTGCTGTGACTATGCAGTAACCCTGTATGGAAAAGAGATTAATCCTGTTAATCTTACCCTGTCTTTGCCTGTATAAAGGACCCTCAAACCTCCCCACTTTGGAGCACCATGGGGTCTGTGTCCTGCTGGAGGGCCATCTGCGCAAACTTTGCTCTCCAATAAACTCAGTATTTAATCGTATTGCCTGAATCTCATCATTAAGGTTGACAGTTCAATGCCATCTCTGAGAAGCCTTCCCTGACCACCCGTACCACTCTGTAGCCCCATATCCTGCTTTACTTTTCTCCAAAGCATTTATCATCGCCTGATTTACATTTATTTTTCTTTGGGCTTTCCTCAATAGAACACGGAAGACAAGAAGTCAGGGCTTTGGCTGTCGCATTCACCATTCTATTTCACAACACCCTATATACCATATCTCAGTAGGAGCCCCTTAAATATTTGCAGTATTTAACAGCCTCATAAGTGACCACGTGGGCATCCCCGTGGGGCCGTAAGCCGCGCCATTTTTTTTGCCAGGATTGGCTGGAGTCTCTGTAACTCTACGACGTGACCGGCAGTCGGCAGCCCGCCTTTGAAGCCCGGGAGATATACTAGGGCCCGCGTTCGCGCGGGAGCTACTGCGCAGGCGCGGGCCCCGGCGCAGGCGCAGAGTGGCCCGGGCGCGCTGCCGGCGGCGGTTGGCGGCGCGCGACGCCGGTGAGCGGTTGGAGTGAGCAGGGCCGAGAGGAGGCAGCGAGAGCCGGCGCCATGGTGGAGAAGGAGGAGGCCGGCGGCGGTATCAGCGAGGAGGAGGCAGCGCAGTATGACCGGCAGATCCGCCTGTGGGGACTGGAGGCCCAGAAACGGTCAGGGCCGGCGCGGCTTGCGGCGCCAAGGGTCTGGAGGGGGCGTCTAGTCGGAGGCGTTTCGCGGCCCTGAGGGAGTGGGAAGATCTGGTTTGAAGAGAGAAGGCGGGAATTAATGTGCCCAGGGATCGTAGCGCTCTTTAGGGGACTGGAGGGGGTGATTGTGTACGTTTCTGGAAGGTGTGGGCAGTGGGGACGCCCCAGGAAGGTAGGAGGGCTGTTCGAGGGAGTGAGGCCTCTGACTCGGGCGTGGGGAGGTCCTGAGGCAGGAAGGGGATTCAAACTCGGGGAATCGGACGCTCGAAAGTGGTGTTGGTGGGGTTCAGCTCGCGGGTGGGGGTTAAGGAAATAAGGAGCCAGAGATACCTGGAAAGGGCGAAGGAGGGGCGTAGTTCATTCATTGGTATGTAATGGGAACCTGGCACGTTACCTCAAATGGGAATCTTGAGAGGTTCAGAGGGTCTGTGGTGGGGCTGGAAGTATCATGAAAGGTTGCTGTGTCGAGCGAGGGGTTGGGGCTGTGTCAGAGAGGAGACAGAGGTTGAGCATTGTGGAGTAGGTGGGATATTGAGGAGTACTTAGTTATCTGAGGGGGATGAGGTCTCTGAAAGAGGTGATCGATTCGATCATATAATTATTTTATTTTATTTTTTTTATTTGAGACAGAGTCTTGCTTTGTTGCCCAGGCTAGAGTGAGTGCCGTGGCGTCAGCCTAGCTCACAGCAACCTCAAACTCCTGGGCTCAAGCGATCCTTCTGCCTCAGCCTCCCGAGTAGCTGGGACTACAGGCATGCGCCACCATGCCCGGCTAATTTTTTCTATATATATATATATATTAGTTGGCCAATTAATTTCTTTCTATTTATAGTAGAGATGGGGTCTTGCTCTTGCTCAGGCTGGTTTCTAACTCCTGACCTCGAGTGATCCGCCTGCCTCGGCCTCCCAGGGTGCTAGGATTACAGGTGTGAGCCATGGCGCCTGGCCCCAATCATATAATTATTTAGCACCTACCATAGGCATAGTTCTAGGCACTGAGCATTTGTCAGTGAGGCAAACAGGCTTCCCCATATGGCTCTTACATTCCGATGGGGCAGACAACAAACCCAAATAACATGTGAGGTAATACAAGTGCTAGAGAGAAAAATGGAGCAAAAATATTGATTGATCAATAAAGGCTGGTGAAGTGGGAGAGGTGTTTTGATAGAGTGGCCAATAAAGTCCTCTGAAGAGGTAACATTGAGGTTCAGATCTGTATGAAAGGAAAGAGCCATGTGGCTGTCTGGAAGAACTTTCCTAGCAAAATGAATAGCAAGTGCAAAATCCCAGAGGCCCAGGGATGCTTGGCAAATCAGAGAAATTAGGGTGCCTGGAACCTAATGAATTGAAGAATAGCTTTTATTCTGAGTGTGCTAGGAAACCCACTGAAGTGTTTTGAGTTTAGGAGTAACGTAATCTGGTTGTATTTTAAAAGGATCACTCTTGCTGTGTGGAGAATAGGTTCAAGTGTGCAGAGTTGGAAGTACAGATTCCAGTTAGACTGTTGCAGTAATCCAGTTGAGACAAAAAGTATGGTGGCTTGAAACTCTAGAGAAGGGATCAAATATATAT